ACTGACCCGATTAGGCAAGTGACAGTTCTGTCAGCTGAGCTAAAGCAGCGAGATTTGTAAAATAAATTTTCACGACTTTTCCAAAGCTTTCTGGGGTTTTCATTACCGTACGAACCCTGTAAATGGCTATTTTTATTTTTTAAAATCGTTTTGATGAAATTTCGGCTCCACTTTGTGTGGTGGTAGTGAGATGGGACAAAGTCCCTGTAAGATATTAGGGTATTCTATAGTCTTTGGACGGCGCTCAAAAGAGAGCGCTCAAAACTCTTCAGATTAATTTAGTGGAACATAATATAGAATCATCCTCTGTCAAGAATTGAGGCATGAACGTGAGAATTTATCATTATCTTTCTAAATGTGCGCTCTTTTGGTCGAAAGGCTTAATTGAACAGTTTAAAGTAGCCATGTGATCACAAATTAATCGGCGATTCGGCGCAGACGTGATTTAATACGTGTGTCCTTTTTCTATGTGAAAAAAAAATCATAAATTCCAGTTTATGCTGTTTGATTATGACTTCGAATGTCGTAGTTGGAAGCTGTTAGCCCCGGCTGGCCCGTGTGCGCAGTTGAAATGCGGCTAATAATTTCTGACTGTCACATAACTGAACAAATGTAAGCGGGTTAAGGCAGGGCCCCCTACAAGGTGGGGGCCCTGGGCTGTAGCCCATTCAAGCCCAATGGTAAGTCCGGCCATGGATGGGATGTTTGAAGGTCACAAGATAACTGTGTGTTAGAGAAAGATAAATAGAAATACACAAAATATTACACGAGGCTAGCGATGTACCACATTCACAATGTTAACACCAATAACTTTATTCTTGACAACATATAATTTAATCACAGTACTACTCAGGTTGCTTACAATGCAATCATTTTCTGCTGTCAGTTATTGCTTCACACATATTAGTGAAGCAATTTAACATAGGTTTTAGATTTAAATGTAATATACAGAGACAGAAAAGCATCAATAAATTATTAGTTGTAGACTTGTACAATACGTTTTCCTTAATACTAGTAGAGTATAATTCTCTTGCAAAAAAAGACAATGACATTGTAACATGAAAAATCAGTAAACTATTCAGTCTGACCTGAAACTATACAATATACACAAGGAAATTGAATATAATATAGTTTTCTGTTTTCACAAAAATAAATAAATAAAATAAAAAAATCAGTGATGAAATGTCAGCCCCCTCTTCGAAAAAAAATAAAATCATCTTCTTGAAAGTGCAACAAATATGTATTTAAGTAAATCCTACATTTTAAAAACATGGTTTGTTGTCATGTGATCTAGTCTTGTCATTTGTCGATTGGTAATCATGAGTATATATAGGTGTGCTTCTATGTATCCTAAGTTACAGCATGTTACATCAATTTTGGTGAGACCATTACATGTCCTTGGGAGCAACAGTGTGCTGATATATTTTTTTCTGATATATTTTTGGTTGTGCACAACATTTTCAGTATTTGGATGTACATGCTTTCTTTGATTGTTCAATCATTCTATGTAAACTTAAATCAATGAAAACTGAAAATCCTTAAACTTATTCCACACAGTTTAAGATGAATGATATCTTAAACTAAGAAAAAACTAACAAAGAAAAAAGAAAACTTATTAACACCCAGGTGTATGTTATTCATATAAAACACTACTTTACTTGGTTTGATTTTATGACCAACAACAGTTAAAATTATAATAACACAAATAATAATAATGGATAATAATATGGTGTACAATTCATAAAATATTTTGTAGCATGATAATTCACGAAAAAAAATCCCTGAAAAACAAAGATGAGTGACAGATGCGCTAAGCATGAGCAGGTGGGTTATCATGCTTCAGTTGTGTTCAGACATTCAGATGTGTGCAGAAGTTACAGTCACAGCAACTCTTCAGTTCTTAAAGGACAGCATCTAGTATAAACTAATGAACAGTAAATTAGAGATACTCTTAAAGACAACTAAATAATTAGAATTACCCATTGACAGATTAGAGAGATGTGAGCAAAAATTACTGGCCTTACACT